GTATTGTTTGCCTGTGGATCTAAAATAATGACCTCCCTCCCTGACCATTAAAATTTAAGGAGCACTTTTAATACTGCCTAAGAGAAATCTAGCATTCCAAATATATTGCAGGCATTAGCACTCCATAGTGTACATGAACACAGTACACCCACACAGCTGCGATGGGTTTGTCAGGTCTGAAGCTTAAAGAGAACGCCAAAGATTTTTAAAAGATTAAAAAACAATCAGTTCCTAAACTTAACTTACAATATTTGGTATTAAAAATTTCCACATTAGTCTATAACTGAAAAAAATTAAAAAACAGCAAGTAGTCCTGCAGCACCTTAGAGACTAATAAAAAATGTAGATGGTATCATGAGCTTTCATGGGCACAGCCCACTTCTTCAGATGAATGGAGCAAGGGGACCAGAGTTGCAAATAAACAGCAGAGAAAGAGGGGATGGGGAAGGAAAGGGAAGGGAAAAAATTGTCAATTAGAGTGTCCATGCTAAATGAGGCTAATAGAGTGGGCTATAAATGCACAATACTTAACTTATAATGTCATTAGTCACTTTGAAATCTATTAGTGAGTGCCCGGGTAAGTTAAAATGTTCCCCAACAGGTTTCTGCATGTTACCATTTCGAATGTCTGATTTGTGTCCATTAATCCTTTGTCGGAGGGACTGTGTAGTATGGCCAATATACATGGGAGAGGGGCATTGCTGGCACTTGATGGCATAGATCACATTGGTGGATGTGCAGTTATATGACCCTCTGATGTAGTGACTTATATGGTAAGGTGCTATGATGATGTTGCTTGTATAGATGTATGGACAGAGTTGGCAGTGGAGTTGATGGCAGGAATGGGTTCCTGAATGAGTATGATGGAGGTGTGCTTTGTGGAGGTTGCTGGAAAGAATTTGTTTGAGATTAGGGAGTTGTCTGTAGGCGAGGATTGGCCTGTCCCCCAATGCCTGTGAGAGTGACGGGTCATTTTCCAGGATAGGTTAATAATGTGCTTAAGTTAGGGGCTGTAGGTGATGACCAGTGGTGTTCTGTTGTTTTCTTTATTGGGCCTATCTTGAAGAAGTTGATGTCTGGCTACTTGTCTGGCTCTGCCAATCTGCTTTTTCCACTTCCCTGGGTGGGTATTTAAGTTTTAAGAATGCTTGATATAGATCCTGTAGGTGTTTGTCTCTGTCTGTGGGACTGGAGCAAATCCGGTTGTATCTTAGGACCAGGCTATAAACAATTGGCTGGGAAATGTGTCTCGGATGGAAGCCAGAGGCATGTAGGTAAGTGTGACGGTCAGTAGGTTACTAACCTGTAATAAGGTTGTGGAAATGTGGCCGTCATTTTTCCCTTCCGTTTCCCTCCCTGCCCCTTCTAACTGACAATATTTTTCCCTTCTCTTTCCTTCCCCATCCCCTCTTTTTCTGCTATTTATTTGCAACTCTGGACCCCTTGCACCATTCATTTGAAGAAGTGGGCTGTGGCCACGAAAACTCATGATACCATCTACATTTTTGTTGCTAGTCTCTAAGGTGCTGCAGGACCATTCACTGTTTACGTTTTTTTTAAATATCTGGTATAAAATGATTTGAAAAAAAATCCCTAAGTACAAGCTGTAGGACTCTTAATAGTAAGGAGCTACTATTGAGAGTCCTACAGCTTTACTTAGGGGGTTTTTTTCCAAATAATTTTTACACCAGCTATTGAGATGTGATATATGTCCAGGATTAATCCAATAATTCTGACTGACATAAGTGATCTCACTATAGACAATCAAGGTACTTATAATAAGTAAAACTGCAATCCTTAATTATAGGAGTAGAATTAAATCCTTGAATTGTGTTGGAGTAGTTTATGTTTTTTAAAAAAAATACAAATAAGTTTAAGAGATATCCTAATCAGTAAACCAGCATTGTCCACATGCAGAATATTGAAGATAGTTTCAAATTAAGCAATGCATTACAAAATCAGTTTCTTCCTTGCTTAGATGAGAATACCTCCATTCAGAGCTCTATATTTCTTCTGGAAAAGCTGAGCACAACACTATCAATGTAAGCAGCCTAGAGAACTCCATCCATTTTCAGGTGACAAGATTCCACTGAACTCAGGTATTGGCAAGTAGTAAAACCTTCCTGTTCACACTATGGATACTAACCTGTAATTCTGATCTAAATTATGCCACAGAAAATCATCAGTGATTCCTCAAGTACCTCCAGCCATCCCAGAGATGATGGAATGCAGGACTCGTGTACAACCCAAGACACAGTATTGCATTTATGACAGATTGAAGGCCAGATCCTCAGATGTGGCAGCAGGGCTGGATTAACTCTTCTGGGGCCTAGTAGACTTAGCAGGGCCCCCTAGGCTCTGGGATGGGGCCAAATTGAGAGTCTCAGTATGTGGGAGGGGGCACAGCTCCCAGGGAGAATAGTTGGCTCTGCATAGGCCTGCACATGCAGGCACCCACCACCCCCAACTATTTCCATTGGCTTCATTTTCTAGCCAATGGGAGTGGCAGGGGTAGAGCCTGGTGGTGGGCACTGCTAGCAGTGACTTACACGGCTCCAGCCAGGGGAAAGAAGGGGGAAAGCAGTGCATTGATCTTCCACCCCTCCCTGCCATGCAGAGCCAGAACATGAGGGGGTTTGAACGGCTACATCCCAAGGTGCTGGGCTAAAGCTCCTCCCCGTAGCCTGAGGCCTTATCTGCAGCCCCTAAAGCCACTTTCATAATCTGGTTCTGTGTTGCAGAATAGGAGCCCTTTGCATTTCCCTAACACAGAGCATTCTGAGCAAAGATTGGACCTAAGAGACACATTAGAGCAACTCAAGGCTCCTCAAATCTGTTTTATCTACCATCAGGCACACCCCATTTCCCCCGATCACACCCTTTATAGAGGCAACAAATGAGCATCCCCTTACAACAGGGGAATTATTTGGAGGCTGGAGCCTCTGGGCACAGCAATTATTATGTATCTATGATGCACAAGGAAGCATTACGTCATTTTTAATTTTAGGAACAAAATTTAATTGCATTGGTATAGCAGCCATTGCCACCGTGACTGGTGCATCGATGACAATTTAAAACAGTTTTATGGAATAGTAAGAAGCAGATGCTTAAATTTGATTCTAGTTGATAGAAACAGTAAAAAACAGAAAAAAGCTTTAGATTTGAAAACAACAGGCTGTTTCCATGTGCACTTTAACTGTAACATTCAAATGTAAGTAGAAATGACAAAGGAAAAACACTACCCTACGACAGAGCATCTGAAAGGTAAAATCTAACAACATGAGGAGCACACGAAGCTGCTCGGCTCACTATACCGCCAGAGGCATGAAGGAAGCCTTGCTCAAACCAGCAATTTCTATTTTTAAACTCGCTGTTGTTTCCGTGTCATGGCATCAATGTGAAGATTGGGCTTTCAGCAGATGCACCACTGACTAGAAACATTCCCTCAGTAATTCATGAATGATAAATCTCGGGCTCAAAGCATCCCTGATTCAGTTGGGTTCTTTTTAATAGAATGCTGCAATTAAAAGGGGACTTTGTCTACAAATATAGTGCTATTAAAATGCAGTTAGGTTAGTGGAGGGAAAGATCAGAAAGACTATAACTCATTACTATGGGCAGTAACATAGTTTCAGAGCCTTAATGGACAAATCCTCCCATCATATCAAGTCCAAATAGCTGGGCTGAGTGCAGAGAAGACATTCAGAGACAGTGGTAGAAGGAATCCTTCCTCGCTCCCAGGCTGCATTGCTGTATGAGTGCTACTCCAAAGTCACTATTGGTGAGCCCTTTCCTCAGAGGAGAAGAGTTGGTGGTTCTAGATTTTCACAGCCCCTATTCCCACTTCTCAGGAAGGAGAAGGAGAAGGTTCCGCTTCTCCATTGCCCACAAAATGCCTCTTCATGAAGGAGCACATGCAGAGCTTGACTTCAGAACATGCATATTGTGTGGACTCCAAAAATCCCATTACTTGGCACAGCAGAAAGTCTTTGTGGCATCTGGACCCCCCCCCCCCCATGGATGTGGAGGAAAGTATTTTGCCTTTAATTATTATTATGCTGCTTTAAGACTTTGAGGTTCCTATTATTTCAATGGTCTCTTTAAATAAGGAATAAGGAATCTTTCGGAAAAGGCTTTATTTTCTGAAAGATCCGCGTCTAGACTGGCGCTTTTTTCCGGCAAAGCTCCGAGACGGAAAAAAGCAGCAGCCGTGTTTATGCAAATGAAGCGGGGCGGATTTAAATCCCCGCTTCATTTGCAATTGCGATGTGTCTAATTTGCATCCCTTTTACGGAAAAGGGATGCAGTCTAGACACACCTTATATGTATTTAAAAACATGGATATTGCATTACATGATAACTGCACAGCCTCATTAATGTTTGGAAGTCTGCTAGAGAAAACAATTCATACTGTTCTTCTTCTTTGTGACTTACAAACTAATACCCAAGGCATAACACATGATCTGTAAAGCCACCTAAAGGAATTCAAACGAGTGTTTTCTTTGCTACTTTTTTTTTCAAAAATGTTGGACTTCAAACATAGAAAGTTTGCTTAGTTTATGTTTCATCTTACATTTTCCTGAAAATGCATACAAAGCTCCTTACAAAGGGTCCTGTGAATTATTCCAAGGATGAGATCGCTCGTATACATACAGAAAATATTTTAGGACCTACACAAGAAACCTTCAGTTTGCTCCTCTCTTTCCTTTATTGATTTTTTGTTGTTGTTCTGCTTGTGCACAGAAACCTACAAAGCACTCTCTCTCACTATCTGGTTCTTTCATGCCATTTTTGGCTAATCCTAATGAATTCTCTTGGGTTTTAACCTCTACTTTCTCCCCCAAGAGACCAAACATCACCAGAACAGTCAGTCCACTGGTTGTTTGCTCAAGACCTTGGATCTGAAGTAGCTCACAAATGTGATTTGAATAGCAATGGAAGATTTAGATGATCTATTACTAATCAGGAACCTTATGAACAGATTTCTGTCTTGTACGTACCTGCCCCTCTACTATCCACTTGGAGATGGACGTTTTTCCATCATACCCAGGCCGGAACTGAAGTGTGGCAGAGCGAGGACTGATGTTAGAAATAACCAGATTAGACGGGGCACCAGGGAGTTCTGTAGCAATTAAAAGAAATTAAAAAGCGTAGAAATATTTTGGAATTTAGAGTACAAATGTGCAGATCAACAAGTAGACAGTCAATATTTCAGCAAGTAGTACAGTATGCTAACACTTATAATACAGTAAATAATTTTGCACTGGCGTATGTAATTATATTATTATTATTAATAATGCACCATATATATCCATGGCACTTTACAGACTAATAAAATGACAGATCTCTGTCTGGAGGACCTTAGACTCTAGATTAACACTATAAAGGCTACATAAGAAAAAGAGGCATGGTCTGGTGGTTAAGGTGGCCTCGAAACCTGAGCTTCATTCCCAGCTCTGCTAGTGAATTGCTGTGTGATTTCGAGTAAGTCATTGAACATTCTGTGATTTAGTTCCCCATTTATAAAATATTTACCTACCTATCTTCCTCTAGAGGAAATGTAAATCCTGGGTAATACCAAAGAGAGACATAATACTGCTGAGTAAATAGCCAACTTCACTGAGATTTTCAAAGCAGATGTAAGCCAGTGTTTCCGCATTTGAGACCTCTTCCCCGGAATCTCACTTTGACAAGAAGCTGTACACTGCCTCGCCCATTTTAGTGGTCGCACTATTGCAATTTGGGCTTTAGGACATGGGACTACTTCTACAAGTTTCCTGTATGCCAACACGTTCCACTTTTGGAAATATTTTTATTTGCATCACATAAATATCCTACAATCCACATGCACTATAGCTCTAATCCTTACAAATGGGAAAAAAGGCTTCCTTTTTAAAAAGCACCCTTTCCCCAAAATGTGTGGGTTTCTTTGTTTTTTAAAATAATGATCACTGCTTGACCCACATCTTATGTTACTTTATATATTTATAAAAAGTAGCTATTTAATTACCTTTCCCCCTCATCCCTGAGTCCCTTCTATACTTTGTTAATTATGCTGTACTGTGCCTCAATGCTTTAAAAATAAAGGCATGATTATTATCTTACTCAGGAAGCCAGTGTTTCCTGGAATTTGGCCACACACAGGAGTCAATTTACTTTGAGTCATTCTCTATAGTTTTACCAACCTGGGGGCACGCCAGAGGAAATGGTAGAGGAGGTAACCACCCCAGTCCCTTTTGCTGTTATTGCTGCCACCTCAATAGTGTAGGTGGTGAGAGACGACAGCCCAGTGATTTTGTATTCAAGGGTTGTGTTGGCTAGAGTGCGAGCCAGACGAGATTCATTCCTGTTGTACACCTCCCAGGAGATCTGGTAGCCTAGAAAACAATTACATAGACGTCAAGGAATTATAACAGTGGTGAGTTCTTTGTCTTCCTGCATGATAATCTAGAGGTTCACAAGTGGTGGAGCATTTGCTGCTGGTGGGCTGTTGAGAGTCAGCTGGTCATGTTGCTGACTCTCCGCCAAAGTGGATACCTTTTTACAGAAAGAAAAATGCACTAAATGCATTAAGGCAATTAAAAATACCTTAGTACTTTTCCAATAGTATTTTTCCACATGAGCGATTCCTGCAGATACCACTGGGATATCATGTGACAATGAAGTTGCAAAGAGAAAGGGATGTGGTTTACATAGAAGAGCTTTCTATATGTATGCAGCATGCACAATTAAAAGGTTGAGAAACCCTCGGGAATAATTTTCTTGAAGAGTGGGATTTCGATTTATGAACTCTAAAAAATGAATAGGAAAAGAGACACTGAAAAACTCAAACTCTTCTCACCAGTGAGTAGTTGGAATAGGAGGTGAAAAATCTATGCACAGCTCCCAGGGCTGCTCCTTTTTTAAGCTGAGGATCTAAAAATACTTACAAATCAGATGATAATGATCTTGCAGGAACACAGCTGGACTCTTGGAGAAATGGAAAAACTTTTACTCTCCTTAGCTTCCTGCTGCACGCAACTTTTAGCAAGGTGAATTATTAGTCCGTCCTTTAGAACCTAGTGTAGCCAACCTACTGTCCTAATCCCTACAACCTTGACCCTCCACCCCTTTCTTCTATAGGAAGCAGCCTGTTAAATGTCTCCTTTCTTAGCTCTTTTGAGAGTTCCTGGAAGACAAATGAATATAAAAGTTTCTACAGTCTGATTTGTTCAATTTTGTCCGTGAAGGCTTTTGTTCTCCTCCTCATCTTCCTCACTTGCTCTGCCCCTTGCTACTCCTCTGGTAACTTTATTCTCCCCTGAGCTCTGTTGAACCTTACTGTGTCAGTCTCCAGATAGCTGGCAGAAACGTTTGCTTGTCTGCAGCTTCCCCTTGTGATTTGGCACAGGGCAAAGAATACATGCAGCTCTTGAAATTAAAGGAAATGAATGTGATTCAAATGATTATACAAAAGGAACCCCTCAAACTGTACTGGGCACAAACCGTCAAGAGAAAGGTAGGCCTTCCAACCAGGTGCCTTCCCTACCATCTCTGAACTCAGACTCATGTTGTTATCACTGAAAACAATGTCAGTGATTAATACATAGAAAGTGAAACCACAAAATGTCCAGTGATTTTAACAAGAAGTGTTTATTTCAGAGACACAATGTGATCTAGCAAACTAGGTACTGGAGTGGGAAACAGGAATTCCTCAGTGCTAATCAGTGAATTGAACACTCAGTGCCTGAGTTTCCCTCATCAGTAAAATGGGAATAACAACAACCACCTCCTTACATCTCAGCGGTGTTGTGGGTTTCATTAACTTTCATGAAGCGAGGAGTATTATTTCCCAGAGAGATCATACTTTGTGTAGCAGATGGTCATTGAAAAAATAATAATAAAGAGCAGTAGCGTGTGGGCGAGGTTCTGTGGCCGGCAATGTGTAGGAGAGCAGGCTAGATGATCATGATGGTCCCCGTCTGACTGAAGTCTGTAAGTCTGTGAGCATGCAGACTTTGAACATGGGGTCTATTGACCTATTAATGAAGGATAAAGGTCAGCCACAGAGTCAGAGCTAGACTCTCCTCTCTATCTGCGGCCCAGTGGTGGGAGCGTGAGCAGAGTGATCTCATGGGGAGCCTCTTCCTTCCTTGCACGCTGCACAGGAGGGCAACAGCGCTGCTACAAATAGACCATTATGGTTAGAGAGAGAGAGAGGGTTGGAAGGTGAACCACAAAAACTGTAACTATGTAGGATCCTGCATATTTAGAAGTCTCAGTGCGGTCTCTGTTACTTTAAAAAAAAAAAGTAGTCCTGTAGGACTGTAGGGTGTGTCTAGACTATAGGGTTTTGTCAACCAAAATGGACTTTGGTTGACAAAACTATACTTGCGTCTACACTACCGCCAAGTTCTGTCGACATTATGTCGACAGAGCTCGGCAGTTTTGTTGACGGCGCTAAACCTCATTCTACGAGGAATAATGTCTTTTGTCGACAGAGTTCTGTCAACAGAAGGTGTTATTGCATCTACACTGTCCTTTGCATCTACACTCTCATGTCGACAAAGCACCTTGCTTTGTCGACAGACCTGGATGTAGTCTAGACACTCTTTGTCGACAGAGGCTTTGTCAACAGTATCTGTCAACAAAGCCTCTATCGACAAAAGCCTGTAGTCTAGATGGACCCTTAGAGACTAACAGATAGAGATAGAGATAAACTCACTTCCTCATTTTTATTAGGCTCTAAGGTGCTACAGGACTAATTATTTTTATGTAGAATCCTGTGACTCAAACCCCCTGCAGAGAAGGCACACAATCAGTGGCCACTCTTAGCCCAGACGCTGGTAAAGGGTAGTTCACAGATGAGGTTGGGGCCACAGAGAAGTTGCAGGGCAGCCCTGCAATCCTGATTATTGAGGCTGTGTGTGAGGAAGTGGGAATTTCACCCTTAATGCACAAACAAAATAAAATATTTGAAGATAGTTTTCAATTAAAAAATAAAGAGATTTGCAAGGTTTTCCCTATCCATCCATGTCCAAACAACATGTGACAACATTGTTGTTCTAAGTTAAACAGTGTTAACTTTCCTTTGCTGATTGGCATGTTTAGGAGAATCTTTGGCTAATCACAACATTTTGAGGGTTCACCTCTATACATTTTTATGGGCTGCCCATAACTACTTCAAAGCCCCTACTGTATGTGGAAAGAGACCCTGGTTTGCAGCATGTCAGGCATGTATTATTGATGCTTTTATATACTGAAAAAAGATTCACCTGGAAAAATATCATTTACAATGTCAATGTAGAGCAAAAGCAGAGGCAACATTGAATATGTATGCAGTCCCCTTACTCTAAAGGGGCCTCTGTTTTATTCAGAAAAGACCCTGTTTGCTACAATCCAGACTACAATTCCCATGAGCCCTTGGGAAAAAACAGGAAGGGAGGAGGCTCTCTCCATGTGCTTGAAGAAGAGGCCTAGCAGTCTGGGACTCTGCCTTGGAGTTTTGGAACCAAAGGGGGAGCCAGGCTGCTGCCAAGGACATTGACCCAGTGCAGGGGCTGTTGGAGTGCAGCTACTACATGCCTGTTGGAACTGGGAGTTAGCAGGCTGCTTCCTATAGGCACAGCATGAGGCAGTAAGTCTGGGCCTTGCTGGAAGAGTGCTGCCTGGGACAGAGCTGCTGCTTAGCCTGGACCAAATCTTCACTACAGCTGCAACATCAGCGCACTAACACAAGCAAGTCTGGGACTGAGTCTAGGGGTGTGCACACTCTGGGGTGGGGTCACTGGTAGTACAAATGGTAGCTATATAAACTTCAGTTATTGTTATGTGTTTTGTTAAGGCTATTCATTTCTAATTCTATTAATCCCTGTTTATTTAAGTTAAGTAAAGATTGTTTATTTTAAAGTGTTCTATTAGATGTATATGATCTGTAGTTGTTGTTTTGGATCCAGATTATAGCTGGAATGACTGTGTTCCTGGAGGCTCTCAAGGCACACCAGTGAGTGTGTACAAGGCCAGCCAGGTGGAGGCACCGCCATTTTACATTCATTACAAGCAAGGGACTGCAGCAAGGGGGTGGATAGGGCTTTCCCCAACTAAACACCATCACCACTGGGGTGCTCAGGATCTCTGTTAGGTTAAAACATCAGGCGCCCAGGCACACCTGTGAGTGTGACCTGCTCCCCAGTAACCCGGGGAGGAAAAAGGGGGTTACATGTATATTTCAATTCCAATAATAAAACAGTTATATCTAGCCATAGAAAAACAAACCAAAATATATATGCACACACATAAAGCCTACTGAAATCAGGCAAGATTAAAACAAACAAACTCATCAATGAAGGAAAGGGATTCCAAAATGAAGGAAAGGAATTCCAGTATCCAAATATATAGCACTTAAGCATCTATGACTGGCAGATGGGCAGAACTCTGGGACATGTGGCCAGTAAAAAATACTCTCTCTGATTTACAGAAATAATCCATGCCGTGGATGTGTGCAGTGGAGTTCAATAGGCCTGAGCAACAATTGTTTCATCTGGTTTGAGTGTAAGCAAGAAGACAAAAGGAGCCACAGTGTTTTCCTTATGCTTTGGCACTAAACCTTCTCCCTGAACTGCTGCCTAACCAAAACTAATGACCAGAGCAGTTTCAGAAATAATTTTCTGTTGAACTGGAATAAATTCTCTACAAGAGACCAGTACATCCAATCACAAACTGTCCATCTGCATCCAGGCACTCATAAATCAGAGTTTACTGAGGGAGAAGAGAAGATACTGAAATTTACAATGAGAGCAACGGGCAGTTTACCAGAACAGGCTGGCTGCCTTGCAATGCTCCCTGTGTTTTCCTCTCATTTCATGTACCAGAATTAAAAAAGAGTCACAGTAAATGATATCAATGAGCAGAAGTGATGAAGCAGAGGGTTTCTAAGCACTCTTAGATCTCTAAGCAGCACTGTATATAGTCCTTGAGCCATTCAAGAAAATGAATTGTCTTGCTGTCCCTTTCTCCCAGCCTTAACACAATGCACACCACTAAAGGGGAAGTCATAAACCTTGCCTGGCGCAGTTTTTTCCTGCCTGTATTTCCTCATAAACAATAGCACTTTTTTAAAAGTCCTTTCCTTCTAAAACAATCTACCCTGTGTGTAAAACAGCCCATCACCTCGCTCCATTGGGTTTCCAAATCATTCTGGGAGGTGGAAGCTTATTTCCAGCATAGGAGTTCTCAAGCAGCAAATGTCTTGTGAACTACTTTGTAGAGGGCAGATTGCTAATTGCAGTGTTAATTTGGGGGGCATTAGCAAAGCCGCACTGAAACAATTCAATAGTAATAATAATATCACAGATTTGGATAGCACCTCTCACCCCGAAGGAATCCAGAATGCTTTACAACCTTCACATAGTTAGCATGTTATGCTAGTTATTACAGTGATGGCAGCAACAGAAATGACCTATTAAATCAGAATAGTAAACATACAGCCAGGAGTCACTGCCCTGTCCCAATACCTAGGTGCACTCACATCTGGGATAGAGTAGGACAGCTGTTTGAAATAACCCCCACTAACACAGAAGCACTTGTGACAGGAACTAAAGAAGAATCTCATATGCACTTCAAAGGACTAGGGCAATTAGTTAAACTGAACATAGCTACTCACATGGGCAAAAGTGCCTGATTCTTATGAGAGACGATAAGATTGCAGTTGAAAATGATATGGCTAATGTGTTTCTTTACACATTTGATAGTTATACTTCACTTGAATTCATCTAGAAGACTGAATATATGCCACTAGTAAATACCGGAGACAATATTTAGCTTTCAATGTGTCCTCAAAGAATGTCATGGTCCAAAATTTTCTAACATGGGTGCTTAAAGTTAAGCACCTAAAACCCATATTTAGTTTACCAAATAAGTGCCCTTTTATTAAGATGTGCTGAGCTCCCAATGACGTTAGTAGGAGCTGATTGCGTTTAGCAACTCTGATTCAGGTGCTTAATTTTAGAGACCCAGGTTTGAAGATTTGGCTAGATTTATTGAAGTGCTACCGATCTGCTATCTTCAACCATCAGTCTTTGTCCAAAGACCACTGAGTTCAAGGCATGATTTCCAAGAAATGAAATGAAGCATTTTGGTCAAAGCAAAATGTTTCATTGACCCAAAACAGCTAAAAAAAAATCCTTTGCAGAGATGCCATGAATGGTAAAGCGCACCCCTTTAGTAGCACCATCAGGAGCACATGGTGACAGCCCAATTACTCCCACTCTAGCGGGTGCTACAGGGCAACGTCCTGTTAGCAGGGCAGAGTTCAACCCTCCAGCCAAAGGAGAAACAATATCACAGCCTGCATAAATGACATAAACTAGAGATCTGAAGCAAAAGAACAGGGGAAAAAACTATACGCAGCTCCCTTCAGGATATAGGGCTCTCTTATTTCACCCAGCCCAGGGAGCATTATAGTCTACTTCAGTATTTATTGGGTGTCTAGTGCAAGTCTCAGTCTTTTCCCCTCTTTAGCACCAGCCATCCTCCTTCAGCAAGGGCAAGGCTCTAGTGGCTGTCCACCCCCTTCTTGAGGTCAGAATAGCTCAACGGCCTGTTACTTTTGCAGGGCTGCCCCCTTCTGAATGGAGCTCACTCCTTTTAAGTCCTGTTCCAGTGTTGGCATCCTATGCGAAAGCAGAAAGACAGGGCTCCTCTAGCCCAAAGCAGCCTTATCACCAATGCTAGTGTGGGTTTTTTTACTCCATATCGCAGGAGAATTTTGAAGTTTTCGTGGTTTTTTTCAAAATTGGAATAAAGCTAAATTTTGCACATTCAAAATCCTTTGAGAAACAGACCTTCTGTCCTCCACTCATTCTCTAATGCATTACATCTGATGACAGTCTTACCTCTGAGGATAAGTACCATGAACTTTTCCAGGTATGTATTAACCTTGACAGAAAAATGAGTGGCTATTGTCTCAACCAAACTGACATACAGTAGATTGATTTATAGCAGGAAAGGGTGAAGTAGCATGCAAGTGTGAGATCTCTGCTGTTACTATCTCTATATCTTAGGGATTTCTGCATCTGTCTGTCTGTGAGCCCTTTTGTTCAAGAACTCCTCCTAAACTGCAAGAGCTGAAACCACCAACTCTGGTATGCAGCTTCCTCCTATCCTGACTTAAAGCAAGATCAGGGTTTGGTTATACCAGGAAAATGGGATGTGCCTGGAATTCAATTGTTTTCCATACCATGGAAAGGGAGGAAGCTGATCAGAGGGACAGCTATACTGCAGAGTGACCACAGGGGGTCAGTCACACAAGGAAGATAGTGGACAGCTAAGGACAGGGCTCACCATCTTGCTGGCCACCGGTCCAGGTACATGGCCCTCCAACCTCAAACCTTCCCTGGTGGCCCTCGGCTGTAGTGATGGATGAGGTGGGTGGAGGGAAAGCCCCACCAGCCCCACCGCCATGGCCCCTCCCCAGACCACCACCAGCCCTATACTCCCTGAGGAAACACAGCCTGCCTCCCCCAGCATTGCTGGACCATCCAATTTGTCCACCCCCCACCCCCAGCCAGCCTGAGTGGTCCCTCTTCCCCATCCCAAGGTCCAGACAGTGTTGTGCAGCCCCCCATCCCTGCTCCCTGATTTGGGATTAGCGAGTGCCAATGGAACCAGCCTGAGCACACACCTCTCATGCTGATCCAGGACCAAGGAGCTATGGCAGGGCTAGACTGCACAGGTCTCCCCACCCAAACCTCCCCTACCCTGGACCAGCCTGGCCCCCCCAGGGAGAAGCCAGCAGGCAGGGTGTGCAGCCCCCTCCTGCCCTAGGGACAAGCTGGCAGGTGGCATATGCAGTCCCCACCACCCTAGGCAACCTCCGGGGAGAAGCTGGTGGTCACCTTCACCCTCTGTCCTGAGTCCCTCACCTCCTGACCTGAGCTCCCCCTCCTCCTAACCCTCACTCCTGAGCCCCTCCTCACCACCAAATCCCCCGCCCCTTGCTCTGAGCCGCTCCTTAACTCCCCCTGCCCCCCCCCACACACACCGGCCCCCTGCTCTGAAGGAGCTAGGAAACGCTCGGTAAGTCTTCTAGTAGCCTATATTTAGCAATAATGTTTAATCTTTCTGTCAAATGATCCATAGCCAGACAGCTTGATCTGTGTGTGAAGGATTCTGGTAACTTGTTATTTCATCTTAATTGTAGCCTCTTAGTTGTCAATCAGGATTTTCCAGCTGCAAATTCAGCATCAGGAGGCCCTGATCCTTAGTGCCAAGGGTCAAACAGAGCCTGGCAGAGTTTCAGAAATCTAGTAACACAGGTGGAACACATGTGAGATTTAACAAGCCTGATGCTCAGTGGGGAGTTGATTTCTAATACATTTTCAGTGGCCACAATCAGGGACTGGTGGTAATTGGACCTGTGCCTTCGGTGACATGCCCTAGTTGATATTTCAATTACCTTAAAGAGGAAGTGGGAAGGCTGCATTGTTGGTAGGCAGCTCTCTCTAAATGTTCTATTATCCAACCTTTTTTTCCCCCCTCACTGCAACAATACATTCCCACGCCTTATTTTAAAGGATAACATCTGATACTTGCCTGTAATTATGCCATTTTTCTCTATAGGTTCCTGCCAGCTGACCTTGAGAGAGGTGTCCAGAATCTCAGTGAAACTCAGGTGTCCCACAGCTCCAGGCTCTGGCAATCAGAAAGGGAAATCTGTTAACAGGAGATCCCCATTTACTTTTGATGTGATTCATGCAGCAAGGTTAGCACTGAAGAAATAAAACACTGAGCCAGGGCCAGTGGAACCCAGCAGGAGACATCTGTGAGAACTGCAGGGGAGAGGGGGAATGCAAGGTGTTAAGAATCACTCTGGCTATCATCACAAATTATTTTATCCAGTCCTCATCCACACTGCGCAGAGAACCAAAGAGACTGGCAGCAGGAGATTGACACACAACTTGTTCTCTGTCTCTCTTCTTGGCCTAATCTCATTAGAACAATCAGGCTTGCTGGATCCTGAAAAGCAATTGCGTTTGCTGGTTTCCCTAAATTATCTCACACAGACTACAGCCTCTTCCTGTGCCTTTGCAGGGGCTGAGGTATCAGGTCTTGTATCTGCAGAAACAGCATTAGCAGAAATCCTATCTGGGCAGGGTCTTTTAACTTCGCAAATCAAGGTCAGTTTTATCCAATCAGCACTTGGATAAACTCTTGCAAAACATAAAAAATCTCCAGGAAAATGGTAACTATTCTCTGTAAAATGTATACAACTCTGTGAAACTTTAAAGGATTTTTATGGTGTAGCTCAAGAGCTCTTGAAATGTTCAGTTCCCTGGTGTGCAATGAAAGACTATAAAATGGAATGACTGTCAAGAATACACCATCCTCCCTCAATTTTGATCTTCAAGGAAGACAACCTGACTGATTTTTGATCCAACTTGCATTTCTCTCTTCAGTCGATGCACTGAAAAAGGGAGCTTTTGGCTTATTTTATATTCACTGTGCTTTTTGTTATCTGGATTCCTGCCCAAAAACGCTATCCTCCAGCTCTGCTGACACCAGTTGGCAATTTCTGGGCTGCACATTTGTATTTTATTTCCTCTTCCCTTTCGTGCAGTTTCTCATTGCCTTCCTGCTATGAAAAAAAAAGCTTGCCAATAGGCTGGCTATAGCCACATTTGCAATTGTGCTATCCCAGGTAGGGAAACCTCTGAAGTCATTCTCCAATAGCCAGTAGTCAAAGCATTATAGAAAGAACAGCTACTCCAGTATAAATCTTAGGAATATCTAACAATAGTAAGTATGCAGTATTCAGGAAGAAGTGATAATCGGTATTCCTAGTCTTGATTTCACTCAACCCACAGTGTTACAATCCTATTTTAATTTTGTTGTACAATTGTGAAAAGATGGAACCAGCTAAATTAAGCCATCAAAGGCTGTGTTCACCTAGGATGTCAATTCATGTTTGATCTGCCATTGATTAGTAAACAAATTCTTTTGCAGAATCACCAAGCATTGTTCTAAAGAAAGGCAGAATGTAACCAACTGTTAGCAGAAGTCTGGAAGGTTTATATTCTCTTCGGATTTAAAGTTTGCATCTTCTTTCACCATGCAGATGTATCCAGTGAAATATGAAAGGGAAATTCACACATACAGACCAAGCTCAAGAACCCAAAGCCAGAAGCCACACCCAGGATGTGGTAGTGTGTCCTCTGAAGTCACAGACTGTACAAATATCCTAATGCTGGCTCTCCTTTTGAGCCATTGCAATACCAAAGAAATTATTTTCTGAAGAGTCTTTTAAAAAATCATACCACCCATTCAGTATTTGCCAAATACAATAACTGTTTCTCTTTCCTCCTTGTCTTCCAGCTTTAATGCTTCAGTAAACACATACAAAGTTAAATTATTGGCTCAGATTCCTGGTGGTTATAATTCTGTTTCAGTGATCTGCTAACATTTAAAAGTTCTAGCAGCAGGTAATCTGCTCTTTGAGCACAGAGATATCACACTTTCTAGCACCCAGGGGAGATGGACTATGAAGGAGAAAATCTTTGGATAAGTAGATATGTCTCTTTTATGTCCTTTCAACACTTTCTCACGGACAATTGGTCCAGCATTTGAAAACTTACTTCTTGAACTCTTATGCTGCCCGTAACAAGGCTCTTTTTTGCAGGAACAATGACTAGCCTAACCAAAGGTTATTAAAACAAAACACTATTTCAAAAACCACCAGATAACCTGGATACATTAAGCAATTTTTTCTAACTTACTTTTATATTTTGGGTTGTCAGAACAGCATTCAGTGAGGGAAAGGGGATTAAAAGCACTGCCCAGAGCTAAGATTAGAGAAGACAGACGATTGTGTAAACCTCCTTCAGATAGCTTTGCGACTGCAATTTAATCTTGACCTGCAGTAACTCCTCCTGGCCCCTGCAGGCATATCAATCCTAAACCTCTCTTGAGCGGACACTTCCACATGAACCAAATTGGGCTAAAATGTGTGAGGTTTTGAGATGCAGCGAATAATCTCTGTACTGAACTTCCAGACTCATTCTCAATCCTTGGTGCAGATTTGAGCTGGATTTGGCAGACAGGCTCAGAATAATGATCTCACCTTTCAAATACTTGAATAAAAAAAAATGCATAAAACATATCTAGCATGCAAATAAGCAATTACATTTTCAATGTGCTTCCAGGCAATGATCATATCTGATGTCTAAATTTAGGCTCCTAAATCCATATTTGGGTATGTAAATATTTAAATTTATAGCGGCCTGATTTTCATTGACTTCAGTGTGTGCTACAGATGAAAATCAGATCTCTTTCTTTTATCTGACTAAATATGGATTTAGGAACCTTGTCTTCGGAAGCCAGGTTTGAAAATTTTGACCATCACTTTTAGCAGAACCATTTTCAGGCACTGCCGGAGAATGCTGGCTGGACTTTGCTATACTCACTGTCTTCATGAGTGCACAACAGCTGTGGTGGGCTTCGTGGTCCATCCCCTGGGGTAGTGAAACAAAGCACTGATGTGTAATAAGCAGTGAATTTCTTCAAGTTGGTAATGCAGCCACTGTGAACTCCATGAAAATCAGGAGCAATGGTGACCACAGTCACAGATTCTGGTTCAGCCACTGGCCATGCCAGGAGCTGGAAGAGAGAAAATGTAAATACAGATTAACGCTCATTAAAAGTTGTTTCTACTCACAATACTTGCAAACGCTATCATTATGCAACGTGAAACAATGCTGCTTCTGAGTTCACTAGATGAGCTTGTATATTAAGATCAACTCACGACAGAAAATAACAAGCATGTTTTAAAAATAAATGGCCATAGTTTTTCCAAGTTGGGGGCCAAATGTTAGGTTCCTCTATCCATATTTAAGTACGTAAAGCGAGCTATTTTTCAGACTCATAGACTTTAAGGTCAGAAGAGACCACCATGATCATTTAGTGTGACCTTCTGCAGATTACTGGTCACAGAACAATATCCACCAACTCCTGTACTAGACCCATAAACTCTGGGTGTATGTCTACACTTGCTCCCTATCCTGAGATAGGGATGCAAATGTAGTGTACCGAAATTGCTAATGAAGCGCAGGATTTAAATATCTCACCCTTAATTAGCATAATCACGTCCAGGCGCCATTTTGAAATAGTGGTATTTCGAAATAAAATGCCCCGTGTAGCAGCAGAAAACCCTTCTCTCGAAATAACTGTTACTCCTTATTTTATTTAAATATTTAAATCCCGCGCTTCATTAGCAATTTCGGTACACTACATTTGCATCCCTATCTCGAGATAAGGAGCAAGTGTAGACGTACCCTGGCTGAGTTACTGAAGTTCTTAAATCATGTTTCGTGTTACAGAGAATTCACCATTTACACTAGTTTAAACCTGCAAGTGACCCATACCCCATGCTGCAGAGAAAGGTGAACCCGGCTGCCCAGGGTCTCTGCCAATCTAATCGATAGGAAAATTCCTTCCTGACCCTAAGTAGGGCAATCAGTTAGACTCTGAGCATATGGGCAAGAACCACCAGGCAGATACCTCTGAAAGAATTCTCTGTAGTAACTCAGAGCCCTCCCCATCTTGTGTCCTGTCTCTGGCCGCAGGGGATTTTTGCCACTGGCAGTCACCCGTGGGCTTCATGCCATCATAGGCAGTCCCATCATACTATCCCTTCCATAAATTTGCCAAGCTTACTCTTGAAGTTGGTGAGGTTTTTTGCCTCACTGCTCTGCTTGGGAGGCTGTTCCACAATTTCACTCTTCTGATGGTTGGAAACATTTGCTAATTTTGAGCCTCAACTTCTTAATGGCCAATTTTCTTATGCCCACATTAGCACTCAATGCAAATAACTCTTCTCCCACCCAGATATTTATCACTCTGATGTATTTGTAGGGAGCAGTTATATCTCCCCTCAGCCTTCTTTTGGTTTGGTTAAACAAGCCAAGCTCTTTGAGTGTCTTCTCATAAGGTAGGTTTCCCATTCTTTGGATTATCCTACTTGCCCTTCTAGGCCCCTCTTCTAGCTTGAATTCTTCTTTTTTAAACATGCGAGATCAGAATTGCACATGGTATTCCAGATGGGGGCTCACCAGTGCCTTGTATAATGATACTAATATGTCTTTGTCTCTACTGGATATATCTCACCTAATGCATGCTAGGACTTCATTAGCCCTTTTCACATAGGTACGCAGCACTTGTGACCACCATTTGACCTCTCTGAATGTTTGGGTACTCAGCTCTTTCTAAAATGAGGACACTTATAGTCAAGTGCCTTTGGGCACGTCTGCACTACAGAGTTATTTTGCAATAACTCACATTATTTTTAAACAACAAGGTGAGTATCCACACAGCAAGCACGTTATTTTGAAATGATTTTGAAATAATGGGCTTCTTATTCTGAAATAAACCCTCATTTCATGAGGAATAATGTCTCTTTTGAAATAGTTATTTCCAAATAGGGTGAGTGTGGACAGCACAGTTGTGCTTATTTTGAAATAATTGGCCTCCAGGGCTTCTCACAGCTGCCTTGGTGGCCACTCTGTCCACACCCCTCAAAACTCTATAGTTTCCCTTCTCCTGTAGCCTTTAAAGATACAAGCAGAAGGGAAAGGGCTTGTGCCATGACACAGGCTCTGCTCGCATCATGCCATACAACAACACC